GGTGTCCCCAGTGTCCCCACCTTGAACTTCTTCCCGCTGAGGGGGCACAGCCACTTGTCCTTGCCCAGCTCCTGGGTGTCCCTGCCTGTCCCTGTGTGTCCTGTCTGTCCCAAACCTGTCCCCAATGACCCCGAGGTGTCCCCAATGACCCTGACAGTGTCCCCAAGGTGTCCCCAGTGTCCCCACCTTGAACTTTTTCCCGCTGAGGGGGCACAGCCACTTGTCCTTGCCCAGCTCCTGGGTGTCCCTGTGTGTCCCCAATGGTTCCTGTGTGTCCCCAATGTCCCCAGGGTGTCCCCAATGACCCTGACAGTGTCCCCAATGTCCCCAAGGTGTCCCCACCTTGAACTTTTTCCCACTGAGGGGGCACAGCCACTTGTCCTTGCCCAGCTCCTGGGTGTTGGCGCTGACGAACTTCTCGAGCTCCTGCTCGGGGTCCTTGCGGCCGAGGCGCTGCGCCTCCTCCTCGGGGACGGCGCCGGGGCCGGCCAGCAGCGGGGCCAGGCGCGCCTCGAACCCGCGCTGCCACTCGGCCACTGGGGACAGGGGACATTGTTACTGGGAGAACTGGGAATAGCCAAAAATGGCAAAAAACCCCGAAAAAATGGCATAAAACTGAGAGAAACGGGGTAAGAACGGGGTTTGGGGTCACTGGGATCGGGGCCAGGCGCGCCTCGAACCCGCGCTGCCACTCGGCCACTGGGGACAAGGGGACATTGTTACTGGGAGAACTGGGAATGGGTGAAATCCCAAAAAAAACCCTGAAAAAATGGCATAAAACTGAGAGGAACGGGGTAAGAACGGGGTTTGGGGTCAGTGGGATCGGGGCCAGGCGCGCCTCGAACCCGCGCTGCCACTCCCACACTGGGGACGGGTTTTGGGGTGAATTTGGGGTTTTTTGGGGTCACCTTCCCCGTGGGACACGCGGTTGGCTTTGGGGTCGTTCTGGGGTGGTTTTTTGGGGTGAATTCAGGGAATTTTGCCTCACCTTCCCCGTGGGACATGCGGTTGGTTTTGGGGTGTTTTTTTGGGGTAGATTTGGGGTTTTTTGCCTCACCTTCGCCGTGGGACACGCGGTTGGTTTCAGGGTGGTTTTTTTGGGGTAAATTTGAGTTATTTTGGGGTTTTTTTGCCTCACCTTCGCCGTGGGACACGCGGTTGGTTTCAGGGTGGTTTTTTTGGGGTAAATTTGAGTTATTTGGGGTTTTTTTGCCTCACCTTCCCCGTGGGACACGCGGTTGGTTTCGGGACGGTTTTTTTGGGGTAAATTTGAGTTATTTTGGGGTTTTTTTGCCTCACCTTCGCCGTGGGACACGCGGTTGGATTCGGGATGGTTTTTTTGGGGTAGATTTGAGTTATTTCGGGGTTTTTTGCCTCACCTTCCCCGTGGGACACGCGGTTGGGCGGCAGCGGGCCCCGCACGTGGATGATCCCGCAGCGGTTCGGCATCTCGTCCTCGTTGGGGTACTCGGAGGTGTTGTAGTAATCCACCGAGTGCACGATGCGCAGGTACAGCAGGAGGCGGTCCAGCACCTGGGGGGACAACGGGGACATTGAGGGGACATTTGGGACATTGAGGGGACATTTGGGGACATTTGGGGACATTTGGGGACACTGGGGACACTCGGAGGTGCTGCAGTAATCCACCAAGTGCACGATGCGCAGGTACAGCAGCAGCCGGTCCAGCACCTGGGGGGACATCGGGGACATTGGGGACATTTGGGACAATCAGGGACATTTGGGACTGTGAGGACACTGGGGACATTGGGGACATTGAGGGGACATTGGGGACACACCTTGAGCAGCTTCTCATCACACTCTGTGATGACACCTTGGGGACTTTTTGGGGATATCTTGGGGACACTTTGGAGATACTTTGGGGACATCTTGGAGACACCTTGGGGACACTTTGATGACACTTTAGGGACACTTTGGTGACACTGGGGACGCACCTTGAGCAGCTTCTCGTTGCGCTCCACAGTGACACCTTGGGGACACCTTGGGGACACTTTGATGACACTCTGGGGACAGTTTGGGGACACTTTGGTGACACTGGGGACGCACCTTGAGCAGCTTCTCGTCGCGCTCCACGGTGACACCTTGGGGACACCTTGGGGACTTTTTGGGGACAATTTGGGGATACTTTGATGACACCTTGGGGACACCTTGGGGACACTTTGATGACACTTTGGGGACAGTTTTGGGACAGTTTGGGGACATTTTGGGACGCACCTTGAGCAGCTTCTCGTCGCGCTCCACGGTGACACCTTGGTGACTTTTTGGGGACACTTTGGGGATACTTTGATGACACCTTGGTGACACTTTGGGGACACTTTGGTGACACCTTGGGGACACTTTGATGACACTCTGGGGACAGTTTTGGGGACACTTTGGGACGCACCTTGAGCAGCTTCTCGTCGTGCTCCACGGTGACACCTTGGTGACTTTTTGGGGACACTTTGGGGATACTTTGATGACACCTTGGTGACTTTTTGGAGACACCTTGGGGACAGTTTTGGGACAGTTTTGGGACAGTTTGGGGACACTTTGGTGACATTGGGGACGCACCTTGAGCAGCTTCTCGTCACGCTCCACGGTGACCTCGGCCGGGTTGGTCTCGCGCGCGGCGTCCTCGGCCGGGGCCGCGCCCTGGCCCTGTCCCTGTCCCTGTCCCTGGCCCTGTCCCTGTCCCTGTCCCAGCAGCTCCTCCTCCTCGGCGCTCACCTCCTCGATCAGGTAATCGGTGATGTGCCGCAGCACCGGGTTCTGCGCCTGCAGGGGACAGTGGGGACACATTGGGGACATTGGGGACATTGGGGACATCATTGGGGATGTGCCGCAGCACCGGGTTCTGAGCCTGCAGGGGACATTGGGGACATTGGGGACATTGGGGACATTGGGGACATTGGGGACATCATTGGGGATGTGCCGCAGCACCGGGTTCTGAGCCTGGGGGGACAGTGGGGACATTGGGGACATCACTGGGGACACATTGGGGACACATTGGGGACAATGGGGACAGCATCGGTGATGTGCCGCAGCCGCCTGCAGGGGACAGTGGGGACACATTGGGGACATTGGGGACATTGGGGACACGTTGGGGACACATTGGGGACATCACTGGGGATGTGCCGCAGCACCGGGTTCTGAGCCTGGGGGGACAGTGGGGACATTGGGGACATCACTGGGGACACATTGGGGACACATTGGGGACAATGGGGACAGCATCGGTGATGTGCCGCAGCACCGGGTTCTGAGCCTGCAGGGGACATTGGGGACATTGGGGACATTGGGGACACGTTGGGGACACATTGGGGACATCACTGGGGATGTGCCGCAGCACCGGGTTCTGAGCCTGCAGGGGACATTGGGGACATTGGGGACATTGGGGACACGTTGGGGACACATTGGGGACATCACTGGGGATGTGCCCCAGCACCGGGTTCTGAGCCTGGGGGGGACAGCAATGGGGACACTGGGGACATTGGGGACACATTGGGGACACATTGGGGACATTGGGGACATCAACAGGGACAAACATCAATGGGTGACACCCTGGGGACACTGGTGACCCCACTGTGGCCACTGGAGACACCCTGGTGACACCACAGGTGACACCCTGGTGACACCCTGGTGACACTGGGGACATCCTGGGGAGACTGGTGACACCTTGGTGACACTGGGGATCCCCTAGTGACCCAACTGGAGACAATAGGGACACCCTGGTGACCCCGCTGACACCACAAGTGACACCCCGGTGACACTGGGGACACCCTGGTGACCCCGCTGACACCGCAGGTGACACCCTGGTGACACTGCTGACCCC